AAACAACAAAATTGAAGCAATAACAAACAGAAGTTATCAGGTAACATTTTCACGATTTCCATTTCAATGAATGCATTTTGAGCAGTAGAGTTGAATTCAATTATTTGTTCTTTAAAAAATGTTTTAGCACATACTCACAATCCATGATGTTATATTTTTTTTGCATTCACTTTCTTTTCTTTTGGGAGGCAGACATAAGATCTGATAAAACATTGTCCGCTTTGTGTGCTAAAGGGTTAATTGTGGGCCAGGACCAAGTTTCCCCAGAAGATGCTAAAGAGAAAGACTGTGAGGCTCCCTGCTCATAGGCAGCAAGTCCATGGAGGGGTTATTGAAAGTCTTCCACTGGCTGAGAAAAATGATCTTTTTAAATAATTCTGTTTCCCACTAAAGATTTTGTGACTGAAGTTTTATTGTATGAAAAAAATAGGTTTAAAAATCTCTAGTATAATAACTTTCTAAAATTTATTTCAAACTAGGTATTTTGGAACATTAAGATTTCTTTTTCAGAACTTGCATATTAAGTAGCTTGAGTTCTAATAAATATGTTATTCTACTTCATAGGTCTTTGATGTACACATAAAGCATATATATATATATATATATATATATATATATATATATAATTTCAAACATATACATCTCACCAAATAATATATACTTAATTAAAAGTTGCATGAAGAAGGGATTAGTGTGACTTTCTAATCAGTAGCTGCAAGTGTCATGGCAGGGAATCCATCTTACATCTTCTTTTAATATTCTATTTCTGCAGAAAAATCCTAGGATGACTTTAAAGGAAGAGGCTACACATGTCGCACTGACATTATTTTTAGATTAATTATTTCATAAACTGAAAGACAGACATGTCTATGTATCTAGAGGAAAATATATCCTTCTGGGACCCTGTCTCACCCTGCAGACTCAAAGCATGGATGGCTTCCTGGAGGCAAGAAGGCTCCCACCCTGCAGTCATCACAGAGCCACCAAGGAGCTGTTTTGTGATCTAAGTTTTGAGATCGTTTAACCAGTTTCTGCAGGTAATGTTGACAAGAGGAACAGAAACGATTTTATTCACACTGCTAAAGGTATGTGATTTAATTTAATACACATGTGGAAAGAATTGCATTTTTTACCTGCGGGCTCATGTTCTTTATTTTGGGTAAGGTCAGGGCTGGATAGGTTATTATTATTTATGCTATCTTAATTGATCCTTCACTTCTAATTCCCCACCTTTCTGTATTTATTATCTTCTTATCTTAGTTCACATCTTTGAATCATTCTATAAGGATATTTAATAATAATAAAATTGAAAATTCATGGAAACCATGGAGGTCAAACTTGCAGAGGATATTTGTGAGTGACGATGATATTACAACATACTCTGTTTCTATAAAAATAACCACAAGTCTCACTGCCTGTAATAGAGCTGCTTACCAAGAAGAGTGTGGCTGTCAGCTTGCAGCTGCAGTAATGGTAAACTCTTTCTCCAATTGCTTTGTGTATAGAATTTTTAACACTGCCTTTCCCTCGGCCACATATCTGAGATTGTTTTATAACTCATTTAAAATAGGTATTATTTTCCCTTCTTTGTAGTCTGAGCAATTACTTCGATGATAACAATATGTAATATATTAACCATGGTTAACCTTATATTATCTTGTTTTAAAATTTTGTATCATCTTTATTTTTTTTAATTAAAAAAAAAACTATTAATTTGCTAAACTCATAATGATGTTCTACAACATTACCTACCTGAATGGAACTAAATTGTTATCATTATATATTTTGGAATTGGAAATCTCAAGGTGATCAATGCAATGGTTAATATTATGCCATGCAACATGTCTTTCTCAGTACAGTAATTTGCATTGATTCCTGTGGCCCTCTTACTTAGAATGCCTTCGAAAGAAGAAAGGACTCTGGCAACTTGCTGAGGGGCTGAGGGAATCACTGGGGGTAAGGAGGTTCAGGAAGTATGTTAAGTGCTTCAGGACTCACCTTGGTACACCTCCCACAGTCATCAGGTGAAATAACCATATTTACAGTCCATTTTGTTTGATTCCACCTAAAGTTAAATTTTTAAAACTTATGAAGAAAGTTTTACATTGCTCAGACTTGCTGTGATCAGCAGGGGTTGTGATATGGAGTCACAGTTGGGAGAAATCCTGCTTATGTAGCTTGCTGTGCTCCTTCAAAAGACAGCACTTTTGCCCTTTTCACGGTCAGATGAAGAGAAGAGCAAACCCATCATCCTCAGCCTCACAGCATTGTAAAGTATGCTAAATACTTGCAGAAACATGTGGGAATGAATGGGACTAATACTTCTAATGATCAGTAATCCAAGGCCGAGGGAAAACACGCTCACTGTGAGTAACTGAGTGGTGCCCAGACCCTGCACACCCAGGGCTGACTCACAGGACATCAGAGCTCAGGCAGAATCAGGAAGCTCACAGAGTTACTGTGCCTTCCAGGGTGTTACTTGCCTGCCTGGGGAAAATAGTCCTAAGCCTTGCTCATTTCAGAAGGTGAGTAAAACCTTCAGTGTGCAAAGTAAGCCAGCAAGACCTGCAACCATGATGTGAGAAACACTAGTGTGTTTTCTTTTTGTTTTGTAAATATTTCCCAACCTACAACAGTTGACATTGACCTATGATTAAGTGGCATCATAACTGTTTATGTGTTATGTTTTGCAAATAAAATCCAGAAATATTTGCTTTTTAATATGCATCATTATCTACTCAGGTTTATCATCTCTACAAGCATTTTCTCCTTTCTAACCATGTGCTCATTTCAAATTGCTCTTTGAAACGATGTCACGTTTGATACTGCTGCAACTAAGCTGTATTTCATGTTTATGATTATTCTCTACAGAAATTGTTAACATAAAAAGTTCTGCCTAAAAGATAGCACAGTAATAAGAGCTTGTCATAAATAATGGGCAATTTTTAAAAAAAATTCTAACTTATTTTTTGAAGTATGTTACAGAATATTTGACTGTTTTTAACTTTAGGGTAGCAATAAGATTATTAAGTACTGATATAAGCTGAGATGAGTTACTAGCATATTATAAGCTTATTTTATTACATTTTCATTTTTCACATATTCACAACAATTTCTAGTTATTTACTGAAGTCTTTTTCTTATTTGAAAAGTCTTCGATTTTTTGTTTATTGAAGTATTTTTCTCATTTGGTGAAGAATTCATACTTAACATGTGAAATAATTTTTAAATTGCCCTTAGAATATCCTTTGCACTTTTATTAAAATTTACTTTTTTCAGAGTAGATTGTTTTGAAGAGTAAGTACTAATTTGAAGAAAAACTATCTTACAATGAAATGATTGTTGACTAAAAAAGATTTTGCAGGGATTTTTATCTATTTTAAAGCCTCTGATTGGTGATTAATAACATGTCTTAAATGTCAAGGAATATAGATCTTTATGTTTAATTTCACCCATTATTAATAAACAGTGACTTTTTTATCTTCATTTTTCTGCCTTGCCTAGATGTCTGCACATATTATTATTTATTTTATTCAATAAAATCTTACATTGGTGTTTCTTTTATGTTACTCTTTTAAAAAATGTTCACTCTACTTTTTAGGTCCATGTATTTTTTCTAAGGTTTTATTGAAATAGTTATATCATTGTAGGAAATACAACTTTGTAATTGATTGAAATTTAATGGATTGTTTTACTAAGAAGTAACATCTGCTATATAGAGACACAGTATATACACTATTGCATATATTTTTGAAATATGTAATTTTTATCATTTTTATAATATTAAATATTTCTTGTCATTGCATGTTTCTTCTTAGAAGTTGAAAATATTTTATTCTACTACATAGAAAAAAGTATGATTTCTACACAAAAAGATATATTCAATATTATGAATATTTTAAATAAGACACTCAGTTTTGAGATTTTGAAGGGTAACTGAGGTTTTCAGTCTAAATTAAACAAATTACCTTCTGAAATTTGGAAAATATCATTGTGCCTTTCAGCAGTTCAGGACCAGAAAATCCTGAGAGCATATAATATTGTTTCAAATCACTTCTTCATACATTTTAAAAATATAGTCCCTTAAATTATCAAGATATCATTGACTGGAAAAAGTTGTAGAAATCAAAATTTCTGTGAAAACTAACCATAAAAATTTTAGTTCTTATCTTGTAACTAATTTTTAAAACTAGACTATTTCTGTCAAAGAATAATAAATATCACTTTAAATTTGGTTGATCCACTTAAATATTTCCTTATTTTTATTAACACTTTTTTGGAAAATTTGTAAAGTTTCATCTATATTTACAAGAATAACTAGTTGGTACTAAATTCATAATGCATGATGGCTGTAACTTCCACATTAATATTAGTATGGAATTTTTCCTATATAAAATAAAAGTAGGTAAAATGTAAAATAAAATAATGAATCATTAAGATTATACTACATTTATCAACTCAGTGTTAACATCGGATTACTTTTATGATATAACTGAGTGGGAACAGTTTCATAATAAATGCACAAAATTGCAACCAACCATCTTAAAAACACATACTTTAGAGAATGTAATTTTTGCAAACAAGTCATCAAAATATTTTCAAAAACGATATTTACGATTATATATACACTTATCTGAAATTGGTGGGCTTCTTCATTTTGTCATTTGTAGTACATGAAGATTAAGAAGAAATGATTTGAAGGTTCCTAAGGCTTAAAAAATAAGAAGGAACAGCTAATTTTTCTATTTGACCTTTGCACAATCTATGCATCATGTGCATTATTACAGAGTATTAATACCTGCAACTATTATATGTTAATCACAAGTAAAAATAACTACATACGGTATTTAATCTATTACATAGGAGACATATATTCACCTAAGGTGATTTAAGTAATAATATTCATCCCATTTAATTACTGTCATTTTGCTGCAAAGGAGAATAAACATTAGTCCACGGAGTTTTCATATATTGTCTGCATTGATATTTCAATTTAAGGCATGAAAACTGGAAACCAAAGTTCTGGGACAAACTTTATGCTGGTTGGTCTTTTCCAATATGGCAGCATGAATGGTTTTCTCTTTGCTGCCATTGTCTTCCTCTTCTTGGTGGCTGTGTTGGGTAATATCACCCTGCTCCACCTCATCCGAGTGGACAGTAGGCTCCATATGCCCATGTACTTCCTACTCAGTCAGCTCTCCCTCATCGACATGATGTACATCTGCACCACTGTGCCCAAGATGGTATCAAACTTCCTGGCAAATACCAAGACCATCACATTCTTGGGCTGTGAGATTCAGACATTTATGTTCGTGAGCCTTGGTGGATGTGAAGCCATTCTCTTAGGCTTCATGTCCTATGATCGTTACGTAGCCATCTGCCATTCTTTGCACTATCCTGTTCTCATGAGCAAGAAGACCTGCTTCTCCCTGATCATGTGTACATGGTGCAGCAGTGCTGTCAACTCCTTAATACATACACTGTATGTCTTCCAGCTTCCTTTCTGTGGGTCTCGGCTCATTAACCACTTTTTCTGTGAAATTCCCTCTCTGCTGCCACTGGTATGTGAGGACACCTCCCATTATGAGGACACCATCCTGCTGAGTGGACTTATTATTCTGCTACTGCCCTTCCTGGCCATCTTAGCTTCCTATGCTCAAGTGCTCACTGTTGTGTTCCAGATGCGCTTAGGCACAGGACGGACCAAAGCCCTTTCCACGTGTTTCTCCCACCTGATTGTGGTGAGCCTCTTCTATGTGACCACTCTCTCCACCTATACTCGGCCACACTCCTTGCATGACCCTGCCCAGGACAAGATGGTGGCAGTTTTTTACAGCATTGTCACACCTCTTCTGAACCCATTCATCTACAGCCTAAGGAACAAGGAGGTCCTGGGGGCCCTGAGCAGACTCCTGGGATGATGAACCCTGATAGAGGAAACATGACTGCAGCAATTCTTTAGTGATTGAGGATTGGCATATGTAGTGAACTTGAAACACCCAGCTGAACTGAATCAGCTCGGTGCTAAGTGAGGAAGGCTTAACTGATGATTGTTACCAACAGCATAAAGCCGAACTGGAGAGGAAGATCCTTTGCTGTGGATTCTCCTGAAGAAGCTTGTCACACTGGCTTTCCTAATATGAACTTGGGTGTTTTAGAGGAATGAAGGTCCTTGCTGTCTCTGAGCATGGCAGAAGTTCCCATTGGGTGATAAATGGGAATAAATCAAATGGCAAATTTTCTGAACAAAAAAGGAAGAAAAGGATTTAAGAGTCCATCACAAGTTACAAAAGAAAACATATCTAAAGTAGACATCAGGCAAGGGGTTAATATCAGAATATATAAAGAACTCATTGAAAAAATATTTTAAAGCAGAATAAATATTTGAAGAAACATTTCTCAATAAAAGAGTTAATACTTTTTTGCATCTATGTAACTTTGTCATCTATAAATGGAAGATTAAAATTAGTCTACATTCATGAGCCTGTAGAAATTTTTATGCTAAGCAAAATGGAGGTCTCTGAACAATTTCTCTGTACAAATTACTTTGGGATATTGTTATCCATAACATGTGATTATTAGTTGATCTATATTATAAGTAGGATTTTATTTACCGATATCAAAATTACATGTTTCAGGTTTATATCTAAATTTTCACTGACAAAGTATTTGTATATCTGCATAGCATACAATGTAATATATATGTATAATGATCCAGCTGAAATAGAAAATTTATTAACAAAAATTTATCATTCTTGAAGTTTAAATATTCAAGATTCTTTCTTCTAGCTATTTTGAAAAAAATACATTACTGTATACTATAGTGATCCAGTACACATTAGGGGATCAAGGACAACACGTACCCTTTCCAACTCTGACTTCTTCCCATGGACAGGTGCTCAGCTGCTCACACACAAAATCCGACATGACTCCTGTGAGCATGGGGAATAATAATGTGGGTATAGAATATGATCCAACCATGTTGCCTACTTTATATGCATGCGATGGTTAAGTACTAGAATCATGTATTTCCATTCTGAGCTAGAGCTTTCTAATCTTCTAGATTTAAGTAAAACTTTTTCTGTTAACATGTCAGTAAACTGGGTCCTCACAATACCTTGCGTCAAACCAGAAAATAAGATGTTTTACTAGAGAAGGGAGAAAAAATGAGATACAGCCATTTATCTCATACACCTGGTCTCCTTATTCACTAAATAAGGTGAGTTTGTAAGTAAATCCATGAAGGAGGCATTACTGTCACTTTCTATGGATGATTAACCTGCGTCTCAAGGACTTCAAGAAACTCATCCTGAACCATGTGATTGGTAGGTTTCATGACTGGCAGAAAACATCTGAGCATGTTCATTTCAGAAGTATGTTTGGGGCAAAGTCTCTCTAAAAGTCTGCATCCGCTATGTAATCACTAGTGCCGTGGACATTTCGGTTACTGAATGCTTTTGTGATTATGAGGTACATAATTTCCTCTCATCTAAAAACCATGTAGGGTAAGCTTCACTTCTAATTAGTCAGGTCTGCACATAAGCAAAGCATTAGCCAAAAGCATCATTTTCTTCAGAGATAGAGTGTCTTGAGATTTGGAAATAATCTGTCTGAACCAATAAATGGAGGAATAATTTCATCATTAGTATTCTTCTAAATATGTCACTATTTGTATTACCAGAATCCGAAGCTGAGGACATTTTCATACCTTAGAAACGTGCTTTTAACTTAATACAAGCAACAGAAGCACTGGTGAGCTCTTCATAGTGGGCAAGGCCAGAGCTCTGGATCACAGGGTGCTTAGGGCACTGTGAGGTTGGCCTGGGCTGAGTTTCCATTGATAACTCACACCTAGGGATTGTTTGTGCTAAAGCTGTTGTTGTCTACTTTATTGCCATGATAAGGATTATCTTAATTAAAATATTTAACATCTAGAGAATAAAGTATTTGTCTTTCGCTTAATAACTTCACAACTATTCCTGTCTTCATTCTGCTGCACACATTTTATGATCTTTGTAAAACACAACATAATAATCTAAGATCTCTCTGGTTATTAGATAATATTCTATAATAGCAGCTTAATAGTTTCATAATTGATATTACACATTGTAAAGCAAATTGTAAAAACAACTTTTGTGTAAGTAGATTGTTTTCCCTTTTCTTGGGATTTATTTCACAGAATGAAATCCAAGACAGGTTACCTGTTCTAGTTTCGAAAACACCTATCTCTTTGTAAAACCCAAAATAATAATACTATTTTATTGTACTGGTTCAGAAAATAATGCATAATATAATGAAAGCATCAAGTTCAGATGAGTTCAGAAAGAGTAATTTTTCAATCCAATTTTAATTTCCACTGAAATAATTTTTCTGTGATGATTCTGTATAAACTTATCATTTTAAAATTATGAGAACAAGTTAGAGTTGATCATTTCCCCACTATGTTATAGAAAGGTGAATTTGATTTTATCATTTAAATTCTTTATGCACTCTCTCTATGCAACCATTATTTTTTGAGTAGATGGAAGCAGTAGTTTCTATTATTTATCAGGATGTTACTGAAAACAATAATTAAGCATTCCACATACAGTAGCATAAATTTATAGCAATTTGTTAATATGACCACTGTACTGTTTTATAATACTGTCTGGTGGACTAAATGTTGGATTCCTGGAACATCTTGCTTAAGGTTGTATTGCAATGAAAGAAATAGTAAGGAAACAAGTTCATGATTTTCTTTGACTAAATCAATATTCTTAAACCACTTTATGTAGTTTTAATATATCCATGAATTTTGTTTTGCAATAAGGACATTTTAGGTAGCAAAACAGCCAGGTATTGCAACTCTCCAGAATGCACACGATGAAGAGGGTGCTTTATTGCACTAGTTTATATTTTACATTTAATCCAGTACACAGGCCTCTGTGTGTCCTTTACTTTGTTTCATTCCATGTTTTATAAAAATTTCATCTAACTGACAATACTGCCATCCAACCAAATGAAACAAGCAGTCTAGAAGTGTGCCATGCTCCCGGGCTCCAGGTCATTGGGATGAACACTGTCAGCATGGTAGTTCCAACAACCAGGGAGACCTCGCAAGAGTAGAGGAGTCCTCTCAGGACCCTGGCTGCAGGTTCATGATGACTTCACCCCTTCATCTGCCAAAAACTTAATGTATGATTTTTTATTCTGTCTGAAATACAAATAAAAGCACAGTCTGCCTCACTCACTTGTTTATATTAGATAACAAGATAATAAATGTAGGTAATTATTGCTACAATTTTCATACATTTTACAATTTAGTTGCCAGCTCTATTGGAAATAGATATGGAATAATTTATGGTTTCAGTCATAGTATTTAGTGATCAAATTGAATAAAATCACATTGAGGACAGAACACAATTTTGGCCTGCAAGACGTTTTAACTTATTGTACTTCTGGGGTTTTTGCAGCTTTGCTAATTCTGGGAAATTCATCAAAGGAGGATGATGTGTACTCTAAGAAGATCCTGAAAAATTCTTTGTTACGTTGTCCTTTTGACTTAAAAATACAATATCATATCTTGTATTACTTTGAATTACAGGTTATTTTTCTCTCCAAAATACTTGTGTGTAAATTATTTATTCTGGGATAATTTAAACAATATTTGAGACAATAATTATAGCTAACCTTGACATTATTAGAATGTTTTATATATGGTAATAACCATAAAACAGCTGAATACTATTATAGTAGGTGCTCTTATTACATCATATCTGCACATAGTGAAGCAGATGCTTCTACTTATTTTAATTGCTTAATTTTATCCAACTATTTCTTGGAGGTACAGATTTTCAAGCACTAGAAACTAGCCCATAAATCCATCTTGTAGTAGTCAATTAAATAGAAAAATTTTACTGAGGTAATGAAGAAATGTAACATTTCTTTAATTTTTTTAGAATATGTATTACTCAGTACATGACTTATATTTCTAGATTTAAAATTTCCCACTGGTTAATGTGAAATATACAGGCTACACTGTGAGTATAAAATATAAAAAAGAGATGATCAGAACTTGCAGAAATGATGGGAGAAGCGGGGAAGAGGAGAAGTAAAAGGATTCAGATGCTATGTGTATGTGAATCTACTTCAAAAGATGAATATACTCATCGTTTATCACAAACATTGCTCAATAAAGACTTTACTAAGATGAGCCATGTACATAAAGAAAATCCCCACAATGTACATTATCATTAAATAGTGCAAACATGTACTAATAAGCAAAAAATATAGAAAAAATTTAAAAGAAGAAATAAAACAGTAATAAATGTTTAAGAAACAAATACTTTCTGACTGCCTTAGTATGTTTAAGGGGCATGAAAAACAATTCTTTTCACTTTTCTATAATTAGTAGACATAACTGCCTCATATATCACCAGACTGTTTCAAATGAAATAATTTAATCTCAAATTAACAGATGATGCCAGTGCAAAAATTATGTAATATATGTCTCCTAAAGGAAAATAAATAACTATTTACCAAAAAACACTATCCACAAATAACACATTATTAAAATATCTTAAATATTCAAAAATATATATTATATTTTATATACACACACACACACACTGCAGTGCTACAAAGTGGAATGCAACAGTTACTAAGGTAGTCATATACATACATATATATATATATATATATATATATATATATATATATATATAACACAGCATGTTATCTAACAATTTTAAATCACCAATAATTTTGTTAAACAGAAAATATATAAATGAAACAAACAATATTGTCTGTATACACTGATCATCTAATAGGCTAGTAGTCATTAAAGTTTAGGTGATGGGTTATAAATTTTGCTTTCAGTTAAAATCCTTAAAATGAGTTTACATAGACAGCCTATGATTGAAAGTCAAATGTAATTCTTTTA